ACACACACACACACACACACACACACACACACACGTATACGCGTACACACACACACACGTACACACGTACGCAAGTACCTTGTGTCCTTTATACTGCCCTAGTCTGCATGTGCCCTTAAAGGTCACAAATGAGAACGTCCTTTTTATCTGCAGAGAGCGAACACGTCTTCCTCTCTCACCCGTCGCATTTCTAGCCAAACAAGGCCTAAACAAACAAACAAATAGCCAAACCACCAGTGTTGGTGCTCTTGTTTTGGGTTATTTGTTCGTCCGTGTGTGTTTTGACAGTCCGTGCATATTACTCCCCGACCAGTGTTGTGATGAATTAAACGTCACGTCAGTTTCCTCCCCCTCTTTAAAAGGAAAGGCTCGTTGTGCTCCCGTTTTTTAACAGTGTTGTGAAGGATCTCTCTGACAGCTGCTGTCCGAGCAGGGAAATTAACTCTGAATGAAATTTGCTCCTTATTCGTCTTAATTTGCTTTGTTCTCTTGCTCTCTCTCTCTCTTCTCTCTCTCTCTTCTCTCTCTTCTCTCTCTCTCTTCTCTCTCTCTCTCTCTCTCTCTCTCTCTCTTTCTCTTTCTCCTTAATCCTCTCTCTGCATAATAATAAATCCATTTTGCACAACTGAAGCATGTGCTCCTTCATCAGATTAATTAAAAATGTACAAAAGGTTTTATGGTTTTATTTTATATTTTTCCAATGGAAGTAATGTTCCAGACAAAGGTAACGTGTAGAATATATTTAATATGAATCTTATATAGAACACGATGACTCTAGATCTTGTTGATATACAGTATCATTGGTGTTTAGTCTATGATTGTGTATGCGGTTCGCTTCTAGCCAGTTCACAGTCACTCGCTGACAATGTCTTGTGCTAAACAGCAGCAAAACCTCCCTAATCATCTGTATTTTTATTTTCTTTCCTCTGTTGCTCTTTTCTTTCTTTATTATTTTTCATTTTGTTTATAATTTAATGTAATCCTTTTTCTTTGTGTGTTTTATTTTTCTTTTGCTTTGAAAGAATCGCTTTGTAACAGCACTAGGTCTTAAAAAAATATTGTTTATATTGATCAGGGTTCAAATCTGTACAGAGATAAATGTTTTCAAACCAATTGTAAATAGCACTAATGCTCCCTGTCCCTCCTCCGAACTTCAAAATGAAATACATCTGTAAACTAAATAAAGATTATTGAAGTGCGCCACCTTTTGTCGTGACTCACTGCTGCTGAATCATGAACCTCTTGATGCTCAGAGATGATATTTAACAGTAATTCAACTAAAAGTTCCATCTCCCTGACAATAACATGGATTTGGGTTGTGAGGTATTTATGTAGAAATACTCTTTGGGTTGGTTAACTCTGTGTTTAACACCACTTATCCTTTAAAGGTACAGTGTGTAGAATTTGGTGACATCTAGTGGTGAAGTTGCATGTTGCAGCTGAACAACCCTCACCTCACCCTCCCATTCCAAACATGAAATAGAACCTGTGGAAACCTTCAGTTGTCATAAAAACTCTAAAGGTTTTTAGTTTGTCCACTTAGGACGACTGTGAAAAACATGGCGGCCTCCAGAGAGAGGACCCGCTCCGATGTAAATATACAGTTTTGATATATAAAGGGCCCATTCTACGTAAAAGAAAACAACAATTCTTATGATTTAGGTGAAACACACTCATGAAAACCTTTCTAGGGTTATTTTACACAAAATTTGTGCCAATAGATCCCTTTCACCTAAATCTTACACACTGGAGCTTTAGGGGTCATGGTGGAGCTGGGGCCAATCCCAGCTGAAAGTGGGTGAGAGGTGGGGTTCATCACAAGGCCGACATACACAGACCAACAACCAGTCACACACATCGGGGACCCAGAGAAAAACCAACACACAGAGAACATGCAACTCCACACAGAAAGACTCGAACCAAGAGGCTATGCTGCCAGCCACTGCGCCACCGTGCCACCAATACTCCATTAAAAGTCCTGAATTCTACAGTGAAGTAAAGTTTACTCAGAGTAAAGAACATCTGGGTGACAGTTCCTCCTTGTATTCTTGTAAACTCAGTCTGGTCTGACTCATCAGCTCATCTCGGTATAACTGATGACTTCAGTCGCTGCTGGATCGACTCTCTGTGCAAAGGTTTGTTGAAACAGTGAAATCCAGCTTTTTGACCGAGTCATTCTGACAGTTGTTCCTGAACACGTTTGCCTGAGTCCTGTTTACGACTTTTTGCCTGCATTAAGGTCTGAAGCCCACAGCAGCTCACTAACCCGGACCCTGTCCTCTGCCATGTCCTCCAAGGACCCCCCCCCCCACCCACTCCATCAGCTCACTTAATTATTAAAGATTTTTATTCTGTCAAGTCTGTGTCTGTTTCTTACAAACGCCACAAGAACACACTATTCAGATTCCCTGATATAGTATCATCAAGAATACA